TGCTAATAACCCCTTGTATGCGAATTGGAGGACTACAATATTGATTACGTTTTTACTAAAAACTATAAATGCCTGACAGTTTTGTACCATAGTTAACACTGTTTTGGAATAACATTCCTTTCCTTTGTCTTTTCATTTGCAACTTGGAGGGTTCTGGCCCTTGATATGGCAAATACCACTGGAGTCTTTTGACAAATAATACTTGAAGTTCAGTGAAAAATCAAATTTAATTCACTGAAATCATGAACCGATCAATGTTAGACGACCATTAAGAACCTAAGAGAATTGGACAGCAATGTGCATCTACGACCTCAACACAGAGAATCACAACCGCCGTCTTCAGTCCCCCATTTGAATAGTTAAACGATAGACATTTGAGTTTGTAACCAGTGGTGTACAAACCTGACTTGAATCGATCATTGACCATTTTCCGTTGTCTTATGTTCGTCCTTTCCTTACATCCGGCAAGTTTTAACTTTATTGGAATAAAGTAACATATGACATCACTCAAGAAAACCAATGACTGTTGATCTGAGCCATGTTGGTGAATCTAATTTTTAATTGTATTTAATACAGCTAACCTGTGTCGGGTAGAGACAAGTATCTACCTCACTACAATGGAAAATGGTCGCGCAACTTCGTGGATTGGTTGATATTAGACGCTAACACCATTGGATGCAGTCTCAGCGGTCCAGTAGGTTAAGCGTGCGCACGCGAGACTGGGGGCCCTGGGTTTGAATTCAGCGAGTAGGATCCTGGGTGCGCACTACTGAGGGGTCCCACAATAGGACGAAACGGCCGTCCAGTGCTTCCAGGTTTCCAACGGTGGTCTAACATCAATCGGTCCATGATCCCAATCAAAACCTAATAATCTCCACAACCCCTATACTGATAATTAAATTTTAACATGAGTCTTTTAAACAATGAAAGACATCAATATTACGCAATCGGACATGTTTTTGTTACCATCGTGATTGTTACCATCGTAACTGTCAACACATTACTAATAAATATATTTTTTAATTCGACGAACACATTATTTGCGTACTAGGTTCGAACTACATTCCACCTATTTTGATTTCGTTAACTGAGTAGTATGATTAGCATTCACAATTAAAATATAGCTCATATTCATTTAATAGTTAAATTCATGAGTTAATTGAAGCTAGACCACTATGGAAAACCTGGAAGCACTGGAAGACTGTTTCGTTCTAGTAGGAGACTCCTCAGTAACAGTGCACATCCATGATCCCGTCTCACGAGATTCGAACCCAGGACCTATCGGTCTCGCATGCGAACTATTAAATTACTATAATATTCATTAAAAATCCTCTCTGGTTATAATCATAATTATCTACTTACTGAATCACTTAATATATGGTATAAAATATAATCTCACAGGGGGCGAGGTCGTGGATGCGCACTGTTGAGGAATCTCACAATAGGATGGAACGGACGTTCAGTGCTTCCTGGATATTATTTGTTCATAGTATTTTAATTTAGTATTTCTGAAGTATAATACAAGTTACCAGATTTAAAAGTCTTGGATTCTAACTCATGTTTAGCCATAAGCAACAACCATAGAGGAGTTGTAATATAGTGTAAAACTCAACTAGTTGTTTGGTGTATTCTAACTTTCAGTAGTCGTTGTGTGGTGTGTGGTATTTATATCGACATAAGTAGTATATAACATTAGTCAGAAATAGGATGTCTGACAGCAGAAGGTCAAGAAGATCAAGGAAGAACAAACGGAGAGACAAAGTAATAGGTATGGAAATGCAGGAACAATAAAGTTTGAGACGATTGATCAAGGTTATGCAAATGAAGTATTTACTGGATGCTTCTCAGATATTACTAAGAGATTCTGTAATTTTATATCCATATACATTTGGTTGTCCCTACTGGTGTTCTAGTTTACTATAGTTGTATTCATGGTTGTGGAAATCATTACTAGATCAATGAAAATGATCCGGTTTTGTGGTTTATATCAAGAAGTTAGTTAGACAACTAATTAAACTTGTGAAACTATTCATATTGACCTTCTTATAACTGAGTATTCGTACACATTTGGAATCTTCAAACTAATCGTCGAATTCACTTGATATTGTTTTACTTGAATCTTCCCATTGATGTTTAGGACTGCAATTGATCAGTCTCTTATTATGTGCATACTGTGCGTATTGCCTCAATATTGCCTTAATTTACAAGCCAATAAGGGATTGATCAATTACAGTCCTAAACATCAATGGGAAGATTCAAGTAAAACAATATCAAGTGAATTAAACTTCACCCCATCGCACAAGCAAGTGGCTATCAGGACTCAGTAGCTAAGTGGATAATGCGATGGCGTTTGAGGCGAGTGAACATCAACTCTGAGATGCAGGTACATCCAGCTGACGAGTTTCAAATAGGACGGAACTCGCGTCTTGTATTCCAGTGCTAGCCACTATCCATTTTTGCTTATAATCGTCGAATACTTAATGTTTCTGTAAAGCTTCTATTCAACGTTGATTGAATAATGTTTCTCAGTATTCTATAGGTTCGTTGAAGGACTTTTTCAAGGAATATGTTGGAACTCCTCAACAAAATTCTTATATAACAATTTTATTTTATTTATGTAAAATAAATATCAATAAACAAAGATGAATGATGGTTAGCAATGGAATGAAAGACTCATGTGTCGTTTTATTTAGGACTCATCAGCTGAATGTACTTACATTCCAGAGTTGGCTTAGTAACTAAATAAATATTGAAATAGCATTTGAAGCTAACGGTACTGGGTTCGAATTTTGGAGTGAACATCAATGGATAGCAGCTGACGAGTCCCAAATAGGACGGTACGTGCATCAAACTGGATTCCACTGATAGCCACTATCCATTTTTTTGCCTGAAGGCACTATCGAGACAATTCGTACAAGATGCACCTATGCTAACAAGTGACTGATCAATTGCAATCCTAAATAACAATGCAAAAACACTTAATTAATCATCACAGTATAGTTTCTTTTTATTTTAAAGATCTATATAGTTCAATATTGATTTAAACACAATTAATCTAAATAAAACATGATTTCAATTTTCAATTGTTGCCATGACAACATAGAACCTTTCGAAATATCGATTTTTATAAACATATTAATCATAATTGAAATATTTCTAATATGAATAGAGTATATAGAGATCAATTGGATCCTATTTGAATTGTAAATAAGATTAACGATATATATATATATATATATATATATATATATATATATATATATATATATATCTGTACATAAATAGTAAGTGTCTTTGGAGAGAATATTCAGGGGGAATCATAATCATTCATTATATTTTCATTTCAAATGTAGAATATGATAAATGAGAAAACTTCAAGAAGAAGAAGAAGAAGAAGAAGAAGAAGGAGAAGAAAGAGAAGAAGAACGAAAAGTAAAAAGAAGAAAAAAACGATGTATCTTTTTAATGTGAACAGATATGTACAGATAAAAATAGTAAGATCTCAAAAGTTTTCGGTTTGAGATTGTGGAGATTGTTAAGTTTTGTTTTTTGTTTTTTTTTTTATTGAGATCATGAATCGATCAATGTTAGACTATCATTGATTGATTGATTGGTTGATTGAAATTAGATACTGACATTGTTGGATACCGGCTTGATGGTTTAGAGATTAAGCGTTTATATGTGAGATTTAAGATCTCTAATTTCAATCCTACTAGGAAAAAACGGACATTCACTACTTCTAGCTTTTCAATCATGATCTAACATTCATCGATTGATGATATCAATCTAAACTCAATAATCTCCACAATTCTATACTGATAATTACGATTGACTCACTAGTGGTTAGCTCGAAGATGAATTTAGTAGAGTGAATCTGGTGAGAAGCCGTGACCAGTATCTGTTATGAGACAATTACTGACTGAATACAATGGTGGACAGTGGCGCAATATGGTGGAATGGTGGAAGCTAGACATATACATAGTTAGATGTGAGCTCAGTGGTCTACAGATTAAGTTCGAATCCCACGTAAGGGATCATCGATGCGCACTATTCACCAGTCCCATACAACGATTAGTTCTATCTTTTCAATGATTGTCCAACATTGATTGATTCATGATCTCAATCAAAAAAAAAAATCCAAGATAGAATGTTACGTAAAAACGGAAGCGATTACAAAACAACTCATTTTTAGTAAAATGTAAATCCTCAAGACCAAAGAACACAATACACCCAGAAATGCTTACAGACAAGAGAAGAATGTACAACAATTAGATAGAACTGGAAAGGAACTCCCAGGACAGAGTGGGTTGAAGTATGCTAGTCGATCACCCATGCCCCACTGGGAGTAACAGGCGTAGGTAAGTAAGTAACTAAATAAGGGGTTTTGACATTATTGGATTTTGTGTGTTTTGTTTTTCATTTTGAAACAACTTTACTTAAGCAAGTCATAATCATAAATGAAAAAACATTGTACAATTGTTTCATTCTAGACACTTTAGATCTTACGAAGAACACTTAACTTCTTAACTACTAAGTTTAAGTGGTCTTCAGTGCTGTTTTTCGACTGCTTTCTTCCTTTAAATTATGAAATTAAAATCGCTTTATATCTTTCTTTTTACAAACGAATTCTTTCTCCGTGTACTATATCCTTATACACAATCTTTCTTTTATGTATTACTACCATCGGAGTGACTACTTCTATGAATCCAGTGTTAATCTCGTTGTGCCAATGAGGTATGGTAACTTGGACCTATGTACATATGTGCCTGGTCCTACCTTGTAATTGACTGACTGACTGACTGAGACTACTAAGTTATAATTTGATAATTTATATTTCTAATTTCAATAAATCAATAATATTGTGTAACTGTCACCAATTATAATCGATATTATTTACCATGATGATTGATGATTAATCAATAAAATCAATGAAACATATCATAGTAATTATTACATAATATGAATTACATGAATTATAATAGAATGCTGGAATAACTTACTTCAATTGTATGTGTGTGTGTGTTTGTGTGTTTATTTGACAAGATTGAACATTGAATCATGTTTTAAAGAGAAAGATGATAGAATCTAAAATGAAAAAAATCATGAAAAGAATAATGTATTAAGTTGACAATTATGTCTGTAATAAGTATAAGGGAGAGTTTAGAATCAATTCAGGCGATTCTTCAACTACAGATTCTTCAACCTACAAATTGTCAAAAAACAAAATCATTTTTGATGGAATTTTATTCTCTGAGCTAGATGGTTTGGTCGTGGAGCTTTCATCGTTCTTCTGAACAACACTATCAGCATAAACTTCAGATAGAAGTGAAGCGTTTCACAGATTGTTCTGTACACCACGATGTTGATTGGTTCTTATTGATCATTCAGTTCAGAGAAGAAAACTCCATCAAAATCATCCACCTAAGCTATAAATCTTCTCCACCATTACAAAATCACTTATAATTTTGTTCTAATGAATATAGATCGTTCATTATGTTCAACTGTTAGAAGAATCCTGGAACATTTATGAGAGTCCTAGATGGATTTAAGCTTAGGAGTTTAAAAGATGAGACTATAACTCATGGATGACCATTGAGAAATGCTAAAGTGACCTTGAGAATATCCATCAACTAGCTAGCAGTAAAAGAGGGTTATCAACCAATGTGATGAGTAAGAATTATGATATACAATTGATGGCTAGTGGTTAGGAATTCGATTTATGGTTTTTATCACGAAATGACATCAGCTATAATGCCAAAGCACTATTTAGCCAAATGGATGGACCTGTTCGGTCAGTCAGTCAGCTACACCATATAACCAGGCACATATGTGCATCGGTTAAAGTTGCCATACCTCATTAGCACAACAAGATCAACACCTCTATTCCAGCTTACATCGACTCATGAATTCAACTGTGAAAAAAACGGTCAAACAGATACATCCAGCTGACGAGTCCAAAATAGGATGAAACGCTGGTCTTGGATTTCACTGCTAGCTACTATCCATCTTTGCTTATAAAGCTTGTGAATTAAGGCACTATCGAGGCAATACACACAAGATGCACAGTAAGAGACTGATCAGTTGTAGTCCTAAACATCAATCGGAAAATACAAGTAAAATAACACCAAATGAATTTAAACTTCAGCCTATTGCACAAACAGGTGTCTATTAGGACTCAGTAACTTAGTGGACAACGCTATGGAGTTTGAAGTGAACGATATTGAGTTGGAGTTCCAGATTGAGCATCAACAAGTCTGAAATGTGGATACATCCAGCTGATGAGTCCCAAATAGGACGAAACTCGCATCAAACTAGATTCCACTACTATCCACTATCTATCTTTGCTTAATTTTTTTCGTTTTTATTCTCTTTTATTCTTCACTATTCTATTTTCATTTATATTTGTTACTTTGTCTTGGTCATCTCTATAAAGACACCCTCACACACACACACACACACACCTACATACAAACACTCCTTATTCAATTAAGAAACTTGAATAGAAAATTAGTTCCAAAAAGAAATTAATAATAATTTAATTAAAATTGGCTTTCGTTAATGTTATATATACAATAGTAGATAGTGGGATAGACACACATACACACATACACACACAAACATATGTACACATACATGAACAATCAATACGAGATATCCATACACACATAATTACACATATGAGGAGAATAAATCGTTTGCACCATCTTGCACGCTCACATGGACACACACACACACATTTTGATGGGGTTTTGTTCACTGAACTGGATGGTTTAGTCGTAGAGATTTCATCATTCTTCTGAACGACATTATCATCAGCAGTACAAACTTCAAATAGAAGTCTACCTGAACTACAACTCTTCTCCACCATCTCAATCATAATAATAATAAGTTTTAGTCTTAATTAATTGTGTGTCTCTTTTTCATTATTGCTATTATCAGTAGTATCTTGATACTATTTATAATAAAGAAAAGAAAAACTAATTTCGTCTTTGTTCGTATGATTCTCTTCAGTTAATTAATTTCTTTTCACAGTCATAAGAGAAGAATAAAAAAAAAGTTTTAACTTTTGAGTTTCTTGTTTATTGTTTCATTGTTTCATCTTTTTCTAATTTTTTTTTCTTCTCTTTAATTGAATTCATGAAATTATATCAATTAAGAGTAAACAGTATGAAGGGATAGGTTAGATGAAGTGAACAATAGTTTGTCTTTTATTTTGTTAGTATGAGATTGTGAAGATTATGAAGGGGTTTTTTTTAATTGAGATCATGAATCGATTGATCTTAGATCATTATTGAGAACCTGAGAGTAATGGACGACGTTTTTGTTCTATAGTGATTATTAGTATTTGCTCACTAGTGACTAGCTTTGTGAGGGAATTCATGGAGTTCTAGTGAGAAGCCGTGATCAGTGGACCTAATCCATGTTGGGTAGAGACTAGTATCTATCTCAGTACAATGGGAGATGGCTGCGCAATTTTGTGGATTGGTTGAAGTTAGACATTAATACCGTTAGATGTCGGATCAGTGGTCTAAAATTTAAGCGTTTACATGCGAGATCTAAGACCTCAGGTTGAAACTCCGTGAGCTGGATCATGAATATTCACTACAGAGGAGTCTTGCAACAGGACGAAATGGCCGTTCAGTGTTTCTAGGCTTTATTTTGTACTGGTCCTTGAAGCAAATAACTATAAAGTAAATACTTCTCAATCAATCGTCTCAGACTTCATTGTTTCTTCGCTTCCACAACAATTATTCTCTGTTCTTTTCCTCTTTTTTTCGATCTTCTTAACCTTCCGTTTCCAGGCATTTCCCTTTCGATTGTTGATACATACTACTTATACCTATCGACATTAGTAGCACAGAACACATGATGACTAATGGAATACAACCATGTCCTGAATGTGACAGTCATTGCTGAATGACTGTTACATCATACTGTGATCGAACTTAAGTCCAAAATGTAAACTTATTGATAAAGAAAATATCCCCTCGAACTGAGTATGTGTTTAGGATTTGTGCTAGCTTGTACCATAATATGAAGAAACTGTAGTCTAGTACTTTCTAGTTTTTTAATAATTATCCATCATGTCCGTTATGTAAACTGAATAGTTTATGAATACTCAGTAGTGCGCATCGATGACCTTAATCATAGGGAATTATATCTAAGACTATTGATCTTGCATACAAATGCCCAACTTCTAAACTATTTAGCTGAAATTTAATAGTTTTAATGTTTAACTTTAGTTAATTCACCATAATGTGCTGTCATCTTTCATTAAGTAAGATGGATAACTTTTTTTATATGTGACACATATGAACTTCACTGGTCACAGTTTCTCACTGGAACACCGAGAGTTTATTTATTTATATATTTGAACATAAAAATATTGTTACAAAGGGGCACCGAATACATATGCACCACACAAATCAGTTGATTTGTGTATCGGGTGAGATACTGATCGGGTGCCCAAACCGAAGAAGGTGGTTTTATTAGGAAGCCACACCCGAAGCCTTCGACCTACAAGTTTGTTCCATAAGGCAGTGCAACATCTTAAACAGGTGTAGTCCAATGATAACCGGTAACAAATGATTGGTTCATACACCATTTGTTCCTTCAGGATCCTGGAGTACATGTACACCATTAGTTTGAAATCAGGGTTTTCCAACTCCCCTAGGCGGACTCTCAGTGTTCATCAACCTGGTTAAAGCTTCTACCAGAAATTCACTTTTCATCTTTTCAATTTCGTAAATATCACCTACTTCGTGAAAAGTCAGTGAGTAAGACTTGCGTGACAGTGGCTCTATACGCGTGGTCATGTGACAGCATTTTGAGAGTGAGAACTGATTTTCCCCACCCTCGGCCGTACCACGGCATTTAGGGGCTGGGAGTTACATCTAGAGGCTAGTCACTAGTGAATACACGATTATCATCAGTTTATGGTTTTGTTGAAATTACAGAATTTCCATCGTTTAAATCACAAAATGATCATAGCTAGAGCACTATTGAAAACCAGAAAGTATTGGACAGTTATCTTATTCTATTATGGGTTTAAATCAAGAAATTGTATATTAAAAAACTCGTGTACCGCTACAATGGTCTAGATTTTAAGTGTTTGTGAATATGATCAAAGGTTTTATTACCGATGGCAGGTTTGTGAATGTATACTCATTATTAGTACCATAGTAGTAGTAATCTAAGATTAGTTCGTGACTTGAAAAAAAAAAATTCTATAAAATTCATAAAATTCTATGATGATAAACATCTTGAATTGGAAAACATTCAAGTGACTTTTAAATATGTAGTCTTATTTCATAGACGTTTAGACCATATAAACTAAGTCAATAACTAATTCAAAGACCTTTTGTTAGCAAAGATGGATAATGGCTAGCACTGGAATCCAAGACGTGCGTTTCGTCCTATTTAGGACTCGTCAGCTGGATATACCTGTATCTGAGTTAATGTTCACTCTGGGACTCGAATCCAGTACCATTGGCTTCGAACGCCATTACGTTATCCACTCAGATACTGAGTGAGTTAAGGCAATGTCGAGGTATACGCACAGTACGCACATATGCCAATTACAGACTGATCAATTGCAGTCTTAAACCTCAATGGGAAGATACAAACAAAACAATACCAAGTGAATTAAACTTCACCCCATTGCACAAGCAAGTGACTATCAGGAATCAGTAGCTGAGTGGATAACACGATGGCGTTTGAAGCGAATGGTACTGGGTACGAGAACCCAGAGTGAACATCAACTCTGAGATGCAGGTACATCCAGCCGACGAGTCCCAAATAGGACGAAACGTGCGTCCTAGATTCCACCGCTATCTATTATCCATCTTTGCTTATAAAGCTTGTGAGTTAAGGGTTTATTAAGGCATACACACAGTACGCGCATATGCCAATAACAGACTGATCAATTTTAGTCCTAAACATCAATGGGAAGATACAAGCAAAAAATACCATACCAAGTGAATTTAATTCAAAGACAGATTATCAGACTGATTTACACTTCATAATTCAAACAATGAAATTCACTATACCATACAGTAATTCACTTTTATTGATACTGGTTACAT